TGTGCGCGGCCGCGCACCTAAGAGGGAACAGTGGCCAAAGTACAACCTTATAACCAATCATCACTATGATGGATTATGAATACACACTAGCTGATCTCAAACAGCAGGCCACTGATTTAGAACTGCAAGTAGACTTTCCTGTGCTACCCAGAAGCACCTTTTTGAGACACACTTTTTCCAACCAACTAGATATCTTAGTTGCATAATGATCCCAAAATTTAGAAGGGCTTTATTCTTGGCCATGTCCAATGCCCTCCCAACAACCATTACTAAAAAGAGAGGCATCACTTAAATGGTAGAATATATGATTCTGTAACGTCCCCTCTAGGCAGCGTCTCGGCAAAAATTGTTATCTCCATTCTTTATCCTGGTCCTTCTGACTTGTTTTAAGGTGTTCTTATCAGATCAATGTGACTTTATTTCCCTGACCACAGGTAAGTACTGTTCTACAGTTTTTCAAAATGCTCTTTAGATATTTTAGAACAATTATATGTTTTCATCTTTCTTCTAATTGTGATTTTTGGGTTTTATTTGCTGATCTCTGACTGAATAAAGATTGATTGGTTGGTTGATTGGTTGGCTGGTTGGGACACATAGTGGGTTGGGGACGCTCAATGCAAAAGGTATATTTTTAAAGTTACCTAACACATACCTACTGTAAGACTTGGTTTGTTCTAAAGGGAAGATGGTTGATCCACACAGGACACGTCCATCACAAGGAAGACAATTTCCTAGTTGTCATAAAATGATATTTTGCAAGCCATGGGCTAAACAAGTGAACTATCTCCTAAGATCACAGATGTTTATAAAGTTGATCTAATAGCAGTAATTCTTTAAGGCAACTTGATTCCTAATGATCTAGAGCAGGAGTGTCAAACCCAAGGCCCAGGGGCCAGATCTGGCCCATGGGGTGCTTAGATTTGGCCCATGGGGCCGCCCTGGAAACAGCAAAGGACCAGTCTGCGATGACTCTGCCGGTGAAAACAGGCTCAGTTTTTGGCTGCAACAGCCTTCTGCAACCCTCTGCCAGCAAAAAACGGAACTCGGGAACCTGTTTTCACTGGCAGAACACTTGGGCCACCATAGGCGCCCCCGACACAAGTGATGTTGAGCTGGCCATACCCAACCATGCCTCCTGTCTCCCCCGAGGTCAAACACAACCCTGACGTGACCCTCAATGAAATCGAGTTTGACACCCCTCATCTAGAATGATGCTTTCTTTTCCTCTTTTGGCATTTGTTTTAATCCTGACATCCTTTCTTACCCTCTTCGCTAGCAGACTTTTAGAAAAACAGCAAGCAATCCTCACAAATCTGAACAAGAGAACCTGAGGCCAGAAGCTTCATACTTCCTACTCTGTAATAAACAAAGCACTTCCGTTATGAAGTTGGATTCTCAGATTAAAATATACCTTGTACAATGAATGTGTCAGATAACTTGATTAAATGAATGAATTGATTGATTATATTTCTATTCTAGTTTCCCACAATAAATAGATATGGGTCTCTCCACCCAACCCTGCACCATTGTGAGAAGGTGACAATTTGAGAAATAATGACTATCCTGAAGTCGGGACAGTGATTCATGAATAGTACATGAATTTAAATCTGCCATGCTGTCCGTAGCACAACTCATTGATTGTGGAGGGAGGAAGCAAACTTGGGTGTCCTCAATTCTAATCTGACATTTTTAAAAAAATAGTCTTTATTGGTTATACATTTTTNTTTCTGCTCATGTGCAAGCACACTCATGAGCGAAGTGGTTGTAAAAAAAATGGAAACCCACCACTGAATGGTGGTGCATTAAATCATATAAAGCTGTTACATTAAAAGTCAAAGTATCACCAGATGGCCAAAACTTTCAGCATTTTGGCATGTTTAATGGAACTCTCATGAGATTTCAGAGGCGATTTAGAGTATTATTTAAGAAGAAAACTAAAGGTGTTGTTACATAAATGTTGTTGCTAAGCATTAAATAACCATCCAGGGGTATTATAATGCTTGTATACTCCCAGTTGCCAATCCTTATCTGACTAAAAAAAAAAAACCAAATAAAATTCACACATATTTGTGTTAGAGTTTATTAATATATGCAAATATTTCTCAGATTTATATCCTGTCTTCTTTCCAGCATGCACAATAGTACCTATCCATTTTTCTCACAATAGCATCCCTATCAAGATGGCTGAGAAGAGTGATCAGCAGTATTTTGGAATTGTCCAGGGAGGCAGATTAATGGAAGCAGCATTGCAATACATGCCCTGCTTTTTTTGTACTTGTGCTGTGGTGTCCTGTGTATGTTCTGATGAGGAAAAGGATTGCAGTGTGATGCTAACTTCACCAGTTTAATGAAGACAGGACATTTCTGTGAACACTGTTAGGAATGCATTACCCAAATCCAGTCAAGTGAGCTTCAACAGCTAAGGGCGGACCTGATTCTAAATCTCCTAAGCTTAGCCCAACATCTTAAGTATGGTACTATAGCACACCATCTTTTCCTTCAGTACAATATGCACCACTCCAAGACTCTGCCCCAAAGCAGGACCAACAAGGAATCCGTTCTCAAAAATGGGCAAATCTGAAATTTGCTTGGACAAGGACACAGTCAAGACTCATTTTCTCTATCTAAGCTGCCAGAACTCAACACAAAGAATAAATTGGTCAATGATTGTCTGTGAAGATGCTAGCCACAAATGTTGCCAAAATTATTTTGTGAGCACCTGAAGGATCATACGTTGCCCAGATCTAATGTGTAGAAACTAAGCAGAAATCACAAAAGAAAATGTGAAGAAAATATTCCTTGACCTTATGCAATTCTGTCAAAGCTGTTTCTGTGTATCTCCAGACACTTCAAATGAGATGGCTTTTGTTTAAAAATGATGCTCTTCTTACTGATCATTACTAAACTCTATTTCTACTTCCCATCAGTGACAGTTCTAGGGCATCCTTTAGCCAAAGTATAACATTGATGTTTTCACATTTATTTCGCTTTGCACATTTACGGTAACATTTTTGTTGTTGTTCATCAAAAATAGCCAAGGACATCATGTGATGTCTTGATATAGTGTCATTTCTGGTGAATAGTTCTCATTGAGCTATAACCCTGGGCTGCTGTTGCAATAGATTGAATCAATGACAAGATTGTTTCTTCTTTTACATCTATCATTGTATGTTTTATAGGGTGGGGGTGGTAAGGCAATGGATGTCTCCCATCCATCACTTAAGTCCTCTAAGAGCTACAGAGTAAGACAAGGAATGGTGGAAAGAAGGGAGTATCATCTGTTTTGATAAGAATACATATCTGGAAGCAAATGATATATTACCCAGTTTTGATAAGAACCTCCAATATCTTATAGTGTTTTTTTTAATGTGTGTGCATTTTTAATGGAGGATTTAGAGTTGAAAGGATTTGTACTACTTGATTATGCCATCTCAATGCAAAGCAGATTTTTAAAATTCAGATGAAATAATATGTCAGAAACTGGAATATAAATAGGAAAAAGGGTAAAGTTCATTGTTGTAATTTGTACCATAACCATCCATAAAGGTGAAAAGATTAAAGTGTTTATTTGCTTTAGTTTGCTCACCACAGATTGTAAAGATAAGGCCTCCTTTGAATCTAACTTGACCTTAAATTACTTTCTGGACATGTCTACACACTTTTCTTAATCATCTTAAATTGACATGCCACTGCCTATCTTCCAAGGTACCTTTTTAATTTAATTCAAGAGTTGAACTCTTGAATACTCTTTTAACTTAGGTTAGATGCCCATCTGAGTCAAAGCCTAGCCCATTTATCCATAGTATTGAATTTAAACTTACATAACAAAGTATGTCAAGGTAAAAGAAAAGGATAATTTCATTTCTACTCCAAATATTTATAAATGCCGAGAGTTCCACACTATTGTTTTCTGAAATTGCCCCTGCAGAAATAAATCAGATTTATGCTCAATATGTGCATCATTAAGCAACTAGAATGATAAATAAAGAGGCGATATACAGAAAAGCAAATTCCCCTAAAAATAGGATTTCCCAGATATCAGATAAGTTTTCTCTTTCTCTGCTAAAGAGGCCTTCACATTCCCTACTCTATAGGCCAAGAATTGCCTTTCGGGTCCACTTATTCATGTTTTTGCTATACATTTTGAAGGATTAAATATTTTTATATACAAAAAAATTACATACTATCTAGGTCTCCATGAAAACAGACACAAAGCAAACTGGACAATTCCAAAGAATGAAAAAAAAATGCAGTTTTCTAAATGGAGGAGAAGAACAAAAATAATTGTAATGGGCAATTTTGAAACTGTTGATTGGAATCACCTAAGAAAAAATAGGTACAGATCTCAGTTTTAATATAGCAAGTGAAAGACAGTGAATCATGTTTTTCCCATTCAATTCACTTTCCCAATGTAAAGCCATTAAGAGAAAACAAACCATTAAAAAAATCAAACACCATCCTTTCTTCTAACCATTTGCAGCAAACACTCAACCAACTAGAGCTGGGAAATCCTGGGGAGATTCCACAGAAGACCTTCCTGCCACAAGTATTTCTGAGTTGTTGATAGAGCTACTAATTTTACTATGCAGCTGTCTAAATGTGATTTAAGGCACATGTCTAAAAAAGCCTGATAAATATACTGTCTTTTCATTTTAAACATAAATTATAGAGGTTTCTGTACTTTACTTTACTCTACTCTACTCTACTCTACTCTACTCTACTCTACTCTACTCTACTCTACTCTACTCTACTCTACTCTACTCTACTCTACTCTACTCNCTTATTTTGGGGGAAGGGCTTATTTTAGTGCATGTGCTCAAAAGCCCGATTGGGCTTATTATCCGGGAGGTCTTATTTTCAGGGAAACAGGGGGGTTTTGGGGTGGAAAACCCACAAAAGTGTAGTCTATACCTCAAAACAGGAAAAATCTGGCAGACACAACCAGTTATAACTGGGAAGGTTCTGCTCTCTATCTAACCTCAGCTATAATATTTATTTACCTGTGCTGTAATAACTTCAGCAGTAAGTCATTCCCTCTGTTAGAAATTATATCTTCAGGAACCCTAGGAGGTCAAAAAAAAAGAAGAGTTAACGCCATGGTGTCCATCCTGAAGCTCACCTGACCGAAGCCATTTTTTGACAGCTTCAATTTTGCCACACTGGAGCTGAGGGATAGGGAGGGGGATTTGAAACAAGAGGGGATTCTGTGGCCAAAACAAAATATATTCTGTTGGGAACCAAGGACATTCTCACACTTGGTTGGAGGAAAGTAGAGTGATGCTATCGGGTTGCCAGACCGTACCACCGTGGCTGGTCATGTGACTGATTGTTTTGAGAAAGTAGAAGTTTTACTTTTCATTAGATGAAAACCGTGGGAGACTTCAGAGTTGTTTTTCACCAGATCTGTGCCAATGTGACATTCCCAATAAAGCTATTCTTTGAGGCAACTGCTGACCTTGGAATGTTGTTTGATATGGATTTATTACTTGGAACCAACCCTGAAACATGGATCTTTCCTACTCTACAGGACAAATATGACACGAAAGCTACGTTTATTTACAGCCTCAACCAAATTGGCAAGGCTGGGTGGACATCTGGGCAATTCCCTTGGTTGGCTATTTTACTCACGTGGTGGTAATGATCTCATCTTTGGTTCTGCGGACCAGCAATACGGGACCCTGATACCTGAAGAGGAGACTTGGTTTAATATGGAGACAAACCAGGACGTTTCATCTAAACTTGCTACAAACATTGTTCTACAACTACAGGGGTGTCAAACGCAAAGCCCGGGGCCCGGATCTTGCCCCCCAAGGGGCTTAGATCTGGCCCGCGATGCTGCCCTGGAAACAGTGAAGAACGGCCTGCAGTGCCTCTGCCAGTGAAAACGGAGCTCCATCTACGCTGGCAGAGGGTTGCAGGAGGCTGTTTCAACGGGAAACAGAGCTCGGGAGCCCGTTTTCACTGGCAGAGTGCTTGGGCTGCCACAGGTGCCCCCAACACGACTGATGTCGACCCCCCCCCCCCCCCCCAGGTCAAACACAACCCTGATGTGGCCCACAATGAAATCAAATTTGACACCCCTGTACTACTATTCTCATGTCAGAAGCAGCTACCAAGGCACTTCTGGGTTGAAAGGATTAGCCGGATACATCCCCGTGGCCCAGTGGGCTCTTCTTCTGTCCCTTTTATTGTTGCATCTCAGCGGCGTGTCACCCTGTTCTAAGCAAGAAGCTTTAATTTCCGACTAGCCTGCTTGAAAACCGATAGTTGTCTACTTCAGACAAACTGGAGAATCGCCTGTTTTAGTTGAACGGTCACTAAATCAAGTTGTGAGTCGAGGACCACCTGCATTTTGCTTCAAAAGGTTTCAAGCGGGGCGTTTCACACCACTTGGAATAACAGTGAATGCCAGAAGGCCAAAAGCCAAAAAGGGGCGAAAAGAACCAGGAAGAACTCTCCATGGTTAAGAAGTTCTGATCCCTTCAATTCTGCATAGAACCCGATATAGAAAGTCTCTCTCTCTGCCTGGCCTTTTCTAGATCGGGGGTGGAGAACCATGGCCCTTTTATGACTTGTGGACTTCAACTCCCAGAATTCCTGAGCTAGCTGGCTCAGGAATCCTGGGAGTTGAAGTCCACAAGTCATAAAAGCCATGGTTCCTCATCTCTCTTCTAGATGTAGATTTCAGAACTCAATCTTTGCTTTAATGAAATCAATGGACAACTCCATTGGCTAATCTTCACTTACACTTGCCACCAATAAGCAATCATAATGGGGTTAAAACAAAAAAAGGGGAAACCTGCTTCTGGCCAGATCTTTTGGGCTATTTGGCTACTGGTCATGGGCTGGAATGGTAGTCCAAAAAGGCCAAAAGACACCTTGATTTTAAAAATTAGCCACCAGAGTTGGCATCATTCAACTTTCTTTTGGCAATGGCTTTGCTCCATAGTGTTTCCTCCTCTCAGTTACCTACTTGCAGAGCTGCTCCGCGTTGTTCAGGTTTAAGTGCTGTCTCACTGTCCGGGTGACCAAGCTTCCTGTGGAACAAAGAGGATAACGTTACCTCATTTTTCTGCCCAGCAAGTAAGTCTCTAATCCAAACCAACTTCACATCATCACCTCCTTTTAACAACCGCATAATCCTTTGTGGGATGGAGTATGGGCAACTGAATGGAGCTGAGTGTTTACTGGCCAGATGCCCTTCCTGTCACCAATGCAGAGTTATATTCAGCAGATATATTCTTGCTTTTCTCCACATTGAATTTTATGTCTCCTTGGTTCTTATTCCACCACCTGCACCACTACTACATCACAATGACTCCCTAACCAAACAGACTCATGATTGGGCCATGTGACTGATTGTTTTGAGAAGGTAAAAAACTTTTACTTTTAATTAGGTGAAAACAAGAGTCGGTTTTCACCAGATCTGTGCCAATATGATATATCCAATAAAGCTTTTCTTTGAGGAATCTACCTGCCTTGGGAGTTTTGCTTGCTATGGGTGTTTTGCTTGCTACTTGAAGCCCTGACACATGCAAAAGTCTGCAGCCTTAGCTTGGCATTTCATAATTCTGAGCTGAATGCTTATCTATTCAACCTGTACATTTGTAAACAAACATTACAAGAACGTTGAGTATCTCAGGGGCTCTCCCCACCAAAGGGAAAATCCTTCTGAGAATCCAACTGCCAGCAGTTGTGAAACACACATCAACGAGAAACAAAACTGAGCGGTGAAGATTACACATCCACTGACCTCCATCGTGGTTAAAGCAGAAGACAGAAAATAAAATAAAACAAAGGAATACCAATCTAAACCATTTCTAAACATAGCAGCTATTCAGGACTGGGGATTTTATAGCTCCGTGACGCCTACAACATAGTACACTGATTGATAGCTATGTTGCAAAACTGGAATTTCAACCTACAAGATGAAATCAAAGCGACAGGATAATAAAGCACTCCCAAGGTGACAAGGGAAAGAAACGCAGGCCACCACAGGACACGAGAACTAACTTAGTGGTAAAAAGGAAAAAAGTTGGTTCAGCTCTTACTGACCAAGTTTTAACTGTCTCACGGACTGAACCATTTAGAAGTCTGGGAAACAGATTCAAAACAGGTGAAACCATTGGACCATAAAGAAGGGTCCATTTCTTGTCCGTCCCCTTACTCCAGCTTTCCGGCATGACCTTGAGAGCGAGAGGCACGAGGTCATCAAAGGAGGCATCCAGGACAACGGCGCTGACCTCGGGATAAGACATGGCTGCCCAAGTGGCTGTGGGGTGCAAAGAGAAAGAGAAATCTGTATTTAGGGAGAGGTGGAAACTCAAGCAGGGGCGTCACAAAATCATAAAGAAGTGGGACATCTGTGCCTCCTCCCTCTGAATTTCTCACCACTAAGTATGTGATGCTAAGAGATGCTCAGATACTGTAGTCCATAATCATCTGGAATATTATATAAATTGCCTTTAAAATCGCCCAGTGTCAGCATCCCCGCCAAATACTTCAAAGGTTCTGTCTTGATCTGGCCTCATGTACTTTCAAAACTGCATCCTTCCAAACTCTAATCTCTTTATGTCCACTAAGGGGCCACCTAGTATGGCGAATCATGTTTCCATTAATACATACCGTATTTTTCGGAGTATATGATGCATCTTTTTCCCTCAAAAAAGTGGCTGAAAATCTGGGTGCGTCTTATACACTGTATACAGCATTTTTTGCTCCCTGAAACTCCGCCCCCTCACCTAAATGGCCATGCGGAGCTTTTAGAAGGCTTTCAGAAGCTCCTGGGGTTGGGAAGGATAGAAATGAGCGAAAAATGGCCCGTTTTTTGCCCCCCCCAGCAGCACTCTATAAGCTTCCTAAAGGCTATAGGCTATACATGCCCTTTTTTTGGGGGGGGGGGGAAGGTCTTGTTTTNAGGCACCGCCGCCGCTGCCATGGGCGGGGGCGCCTGCGGGAGCTTTGGAGGCTTCACCTTGGCTGCAGCGTTGGCGGCAAATCTGGCAGTGCTGTTGGAGGAGGAGGCGGCAGCAGCTATTCCCCTCATCTTCCGGAACCTGTGGCAGAAATCACTGCGCGGTTAAAAACTGCTGCACGGTGTTTTCTTGCCACGTGCGCAGCCGCGCACCTTAGAGGGAACAGTGATGCTGAAAGGTCCCAAGAAGTCCCAAAATACCACTCTAACTAGAATAAGGAAAAATAGGGCCACCTAGTTCTTAACTCAAGTAAAAATGGGTAGATAATTACATCATCTAAAAGAATTTTTCCACAGTATATATATTTAATAAGGTTCAGGTAAAAGTTCTCACTATGTTATAAGATAACATTTTGAGATTCCAAATCGAATTTGTTCAGCTTGCATAACAAAAATTGAAGAATGCACTTGTCATGATTAAGAGTATCTTTAGCTCTTTGTTGCTAGAGAAAACATCTTGGTCTCACTGTTGTGCCAAATTAATTTAATATCAGCTTCGTTAGTGGTATTAAATAATTACATTTCCATAATGTCTTTCAGATGAACACTAGGAACAGGAATAGGGAGTTTCTGGGAAGAAAACTCATTGTCTTAAAAGTGTCAAAAAAATCTCAAAGTGCCAAAATTACCAAAATGAGTGACACGGTTTTCCAGATTTTGTTTGCTTTTTTCTTTTGGGGAGAGTTTTCAGAGCTAGCATTTGAAAGGTGTCTACTCTTATTACTACCCTTACCTTCTCCAAGATGTTTGTCCCATCTTTTTGTATAACATTGTCCCTACCCTTCTGTGTCCCACTGAAAGGTAGCCATGTTGCAGCTTCTGAAATATTGTTGATTCCTGCTTTTCCCGTTTAAGTGGACTTCTACTTACGGCAGTAGATTAACTATTTGTCTTCTGCCTGCTTTTCTTTTCTGAATTCACTTATCATTGAAAACAGAAACTGGAGAGTTTTATTTCTTTTTAGCAGTTTGCTTTCAATATTCTGTGGTGAATATGATTTCCCCCACTCATACTAAAATTAGTCTCTGTGTGTAAATTAATGATATTATCTCACAGAAGGAACTCTACATCTTGCAGCTGAGCAATCTTTGCTGTCATAGAAAGAGACAAACACAAACGTTATTCTGGCTGATTTTGATTTTGAGTAATTGGTGAACGTGCAAGGAAGCAAATAGGGAAATGATAAATGGAACTGGATAATAACAATTAAATGTTCTGAGTTAAAAATGGTTAACCAATAAGAGAAAGGCATAAGCCAGCGTTAAGTAATATTTAAATTTATTTATCAAAAGAAATGTATATGGCCCCACCCATCTTTTGGCCCACTGCCCACAATATACAGGTGGTCTTCAAATTACAAATGGCAATTAGGGCTGGAACTTCCTTTGCTAAGCAATGCTGTTGTAAACCACTTTGACATGTGACTGTATTGTATAGCAATGATAATTCTTTTCAGCCCCCATTGCTGTTGCTAAGTGACCACCTCCTTGCAACTATCTTCTGGCTTTCAATGACCAAAGCTGCCACATGGGAGAGGGTGTGCCTGGTGGTGCGGATGGCTAGGGAGGCATGATGTAAGCACAATGATGGCTGCTGCCTAGTGGGAGAGAGTGTATGAGAAGGTGGGGAATCATGGCAACTTGCAACCTTCCTCTGCTGACTTCCCTATTGACTTTTTTGTGGGAAGCCAGCAGAGAGGGTTGCAAATAGAAATCATGTTACTGCAAACACTGTAACTGTTGTAAGTGCAAACCAGTTGCTCACCTTGTGATTGTGTGACAGTGGACACTGGAAGCAGGAACTTTGAGGAACAGTCATAACCACAACTCACTTAGTGCTTATCTTTGAATGATTGACTGGTTCTTATTCAATAACTATTTATAACAGCGTTCTCCTTGCCAGTAGATAATATCACAGTCTAGAAAGTTCTGCTTCATTTTCAACCATTTTAAATGATTCAGGTATTCTAAAACAGGGTAAAAAAGTGATGTTGTAACTCATCAAATTAATGTATTTTTGATTCTCTGTAGGATGGCTGGTTGTGGTGAACTTGATCACTCAATCAACATGCTTCCAACGAATAAAAAGGCAAACGAATCATGTTCAAATGCAACACCATCTCTTATGGTTCCTGAATGTGCTATCTGCCTGCAAGCATGTGTCCACCCTGTGAGTCTGCCCTGCAAGCACGTCTTCTGCTATCTGTGTGTAAAAGGAGCTTCCTGGTTGGGAAAGCGGTGTGCGCTCTGTCGGCAGGAGATTCCAGAGGACTTTCTTGATAAACCAACTTTGCTATCACCTGAGGAACTCAAAGCAGCCAGTAGAGGCAATGGGGAATATGCTTGGTATTATGAAGGTAGAAATGGCTGGTGGCAATATGATGAACGTACAAGTAGGGAGTTGGAAGATGCATTTTCTAAAGGTAAAAAGAGCACTGAAATGTTAATTGCTGGTTTCTTATATGTGGCAGATCTTGAGAACATGGTTCAGTATAGGAGAAATGAGCATGGACGTCGCAGGAAAATAAAACGGGACATAATAGATATTCCAAAGAAGGGAGTGGCTGGGCTTAGGTTGGACTGTGACTCTACTGCTATCAATCTAGCAAGAGAGAGCTCTGCAGATGGTGCAGACAGTATACCACCGCTAGGTGCTACTGCTGCTGGGCAGCCTCCAGCAACTGTTAGACCCCTTCCTACACTAGATGGTCAGCTGACAAGTCCTGCAACACCATCACCTGAGGAAAGTACTCTAGACAACTCTTTTGCCAACTTGCAAATCAATGGAGACAGTTTGGTTGAAAGGAGCCATAGGGGTGAGGGAGAGGAAGACCATGAATCACCATCTTCTGGTAGGATGAGAGTTATTGATACCTCCATAGAGGAAACAGAATCGGATGCTAGCAGTGATAGTGAGGATTTGTCTGCCCAATTTCAGCTGCCAGTACCCTCTGCTCAGCAGAGACATCTGAATGGAAATCAGCCAGCCTTGGATAGACCAGTGGCAGGCAGTGGGGTGGGAAATACCACTGTGAGATCGAGAAGGCCTGATGGACAGTGCACAATAACAGAAGTCTAAATCTAGAGCCATGGTTTTAAAATTCAGTCTTATACCTGTACATTTTGTCTGTATTGACATTGCGCTCCAGCCTAGCAGTCTTATTTTAAAGTGTTTCCGTATGAGAAGAAGGGGAAGAAAGGAAACCTGATCATCTAACATTAAAAGCTGTCTCTTGATTTGTCTGGAACACTGAACATTTAAAAATCTGGGCATGTGTTAATGGTTTGGAAGCTGTTTAGCAACACTCAGTTTTGTAAAATGTCTGCTTTTATTTTGTAGTATATACCCCTTTCCATGTTAAAACCCATCCTCCTTTTTTTGACAAATGTATATTCACTGTACAACTTGGAACTGTTATTATTTGTTGCATTAAGTATCTTAAGTAGCTATCTGCATGGATTGATGTGTGGAAGGAATATTAAAACTGGAAATGATCAAGAGTTTGGAAATGTGCAAGATGCTTAATTTTAACATAAAATAGTTGTGACTCCTAAAATTCAGATGTTTTACTAAAGCTGAGAGATGAATCATCCTGAATGAAATGTAAAATAATTTCTGTTGCAGAGTTTTACTTGTAAAGAAATCATTGTGTCTTCATTGGCTCTCTGTCTAGTCCCTGTAGCTTGTTTGCGTCTTTTTTGTGTCGTTTTTGTTACAAGATTTATAATTTAATAAACTACATTTTATCAACAGTATTAATTGAACCCATGTCACACTAAAGACATGTTTTGAAAGAGGTATATGCACTGCCTTTGTTTGGTTAATAGAAGAACAAAATGCACTGCAGAACAAGATGACTTGAATAAATGTTGAGCAGAAAAATAAAGATGCTTGCATAATAAGTTCCTATGGAAAGATGCTAACAATAGTTGAAGATAACAATAGAAAAGGCACTATAATATTTGCTTCTCCTAGTTTCTCTAAAACAGGATGCTAGGAAATTATTTTTACATTGAAATTATCAGAATTTTGTTTTCACTTATGTGAATAAATTATGTTTTGCCAGGAATTGTTTTATATGTATTTACAATAGAACCAAATTGGTCTAGTGGTTAAGAAACTAGAAGATTTTGTGTTATAGTCTTGCCTTACGTATGGCTAGATAACTTTGGAACAGTCACACTGTCTCAGCCCAGCCCACCTCACTGGATTGTTGATATTTTGAAGAAAAAAGGAGGAAATATTAGATATGTTCACTGCCTTGTATTATTTATAAAAATAATAAAGGCAAGCTAAAAAATAAATTAAAAACCCTATAATACTTTAGCAGCATAATTAAATGGATTTTTAAAGTAATGTAGTTGAGAAGTCCTAGCATGCACTTGATTATAGCTTAATCTCAAAGTATTTTAGTTGTAGTTGCTTTACAGAAATATATTGCAATACATATAAAAATATATACTTTGTACTACAAGACCATCAAACGTAGGTTGAACAAAACTATTCCTAATAACTGAAAATAATAGTGTCTGAATCTCCATAATTATTTATTTGATACACTATGTATGCTATTTCTATGCTAAAATTTTGTTTAAGATGGCAATCTGATAAATGTATTTAATTCAGGAATCAAATTTTCAATACATATAGATGAAAACAGAAAAAATATAAAATTATTCAGCCAATAGAGTAAGTCCAGATTAGAGTAGCAGTTCCTGAGTTCCACCCATTATTACCTTACACTAATAGCAGTAAACCAGAATTTAGTGACTCTTCTGCAGATTTCTAAATACTAATCATCTACCCCCCCAAAAATTCCTCCCCCAACTTGTCCAGTTATTACACCTAGAATAGTTGGCTAGTGCAAACCATTATTACTTTAGCCTCTGCAGTAATAAGGAGATATACTCCAGCCTTCTCAGAGACATCGGGCTCAAAGAACACAATGTTTAGATTACAACATTTTAACCTGTAAGAGGTGAAAATATTGGGCTGGGATACACCAGTATCCCAAATCTGAGTCTACACCTTCCTTATTCTGTATTTTCTTCCAGGATGATGCAAAATTATCCATGAAGATCAAGCAGGGCAAAGATCTCCCCATAAAGATATGTTTTAACCCGTATGTTAAGAAACACACATCTAAAAAACTAGTCTGTATTTCAGGCATGGGAAAGCAATTGTCACATACCAAGGAACATGAACTATAGCTCTTAAAATGTTTAGCCAAGTTGCTTCTAAACATGTTAGAGCTTTGTAGATACATGATTATAGGCAATAGAGCAAGATGCGCAATACTTCAAAAAACATTAAAAGAGCAGATGCATAATTATTGTTTCTGTTATCAGCAAATCTGGTTTATATCAAATTGCACCAGTTCCTACTCTACTTACCAATAACCAGGAAACCTGAGCAATGGAGTTATTTAAATAATTTATTTCTGTTCCTAGATCTTCTTTACATAATTGAACAAAACATTGAAAGGTTAACTGAACAATGACATAATTCATATTAACATTAATATGAATAAGTATTCATGTTTATTAATACACATGTGAAAAAGTTTTATGAGGCTAGAGACATAATGGACTCCAATTAAAAGTAGAAATGCCAATTATGTATTTTACTGAAGAAAATATCTGACTCATGAACAACTGAATGTGCTTAACTGATTTTTAAAAATTCTCCTTCCCATATCTCTTTTTCTACTAGTGAATTAGTGAGCATCTGATTGCGAAATAGATACTCAAATCTGCTTACAAGATAGCACCAGGCCTTAATTTCAAAAGATTCATCAAGGCTACTGCAATAAACATATCTGCTGATTTGAAGAGATCAATTCCCAGCTGTAGATGCTCCCAAATTGCTCTAATGTCCTTAACTATATATTCAACTTTAACTAGAATGGTGAATGATGGAACTCCTTCCCTCCTCCCCCCCC